TGATGCGACAGCAGGTACTCTGCTAGGTGTTGGGTAGTCGACAGCAGGTACTCTGCTAGTGTGGGGGTAGTCAACAGCAGGTACTCTGCTAGTGTGGGGTAGTCGACAGCAGGTACTCTGCTAGTGTGGGGTGGTCGACAGAAGTACTCTGCTAGTGTGGGGTGATGCGACAGCGGGTACTCTGCTAGTGTGGGGGTAGTCGACGCCAGCAGGTACTCTGCTAGTGTGGGGTAGTCGACAACAGAGTGCCCTTCACACTGGGACATGAAGTTGACTAAAGTGTAGCATTAAACAACAATACAATATAGAAACTCATATGCTTAGAGTGTGATTCTGTTAAGTTATTTCCAGGATGTCCACGCTCTCCCTCTCACCTTCTTCATACTTGCCCTTGAAAGTCCCGATGATGTTGGTGACTTCCCTCATGTCAGGATATTGTTGGCGATCAAGTTCACCTTACTGGAAACAACAATGTGGAGAGCCGCTCATGTTGTTACCTGTACTACACCTGGACCATCTGTCCTGTTGAGATACCACTGAAACTGTCTTCAACCATATAAACAACAAACATGTCGCATGTAAACAGTGTTAGTGTTGTACATAGGGGTGAAACAGTAATGCTCTTACTGATGCAGTACGGTATATATTGCAGTACAAGGCCCTCAGTTGGGTCCGTTTCGAATTACGGTATATGATATGAGATATGATCACTTAACTTGCATTAATGTTTAGTAGATTTTGACAAAATGATTTGATTTCTAGACATTTTAGAAAAAATTTAAAGTGGTTTCAAAAAGGTTAATAAAATTGCGATGCGAAAATAAAAATACCAAATTTTAGGATTGCATTATGGTATACCGAGACAAAAGGCAAAATACCGCGGTTCTACTGATACCATGGAAAACCGGTTCACCACTAGTTGTTACAGGTGTGACATTACATGTCTGTTGATACAGTATCAGCTTTCTGAAGGTATAGTCTAACTATCTACTGGTGTGACCTGTTATGTTCAACATGAGAGAACTGCTTGTGTCTGGTAGAAGCAGTGTCAACTATCAACATGAGAGACCTGTTTTGTCTGGTATAAAGCAGTGTCAACTATCAACATGAGAGAACTGGTATGTCTGAGTATAGCGAAGCGTCAACTTTCAACTTTATGAGAGACCTGTTATGTCTGAGGTATAAGCAGTGTCAACTTTCAACATAGAGAGACCTGTTATGTCTGGTATAAGCACAGTGTCAACTTTCAACATGAGAGACCTGTGCTATGTCTGGGTATAAGCAGTGTCAACTTTCAACATGAGAACTGGTATGTCTGGTATAAGTAGTGTCAACTATCAGCTATGAGAGAACTGTTATGTCTGGTATAAGCAGTGTCAACTATCAACATGAGAGAACTGGTATGTCTGGTATAAGCAGTGTCAGCTTTCCAACATGGGAGACTATTATGTCTGGTATAAAGTAGTGTCAACTATCATCAACATGGAGTGAACTGTTGTGTCTAGTGTAAAGCGGTGTCAACTTTCAACATGAGAGAACTGTTGTGTCTGGTATAAGCAGTGTCAACTATCAACATGAGAGAACTGTTATTTCTGGTATAAGCAGCGTCAACTATCAACATGAGAGAACTGTTACGTCTGGTATAAAGCAGTGTCAACTATCAACATGAGAGAACTGTTATGTCTGGTATAAAGCAGTGTCAACTACCAACATGAGAGAACTGTTATGTCTTGTTTAAGCAGTGTCAACTATCAACATGAGAGACCTGTTTTGTCTGGTATAAGCAGTGTCAACTATCAACATGAGAGAACTGTTGTGTCTGGTATAAGCAGTGTCAACTATCAACATGAGAGAACTGTTGTGTCTGGTATAAGCAGTGTCAACTATCAACATGAGAAGAACTGTTGTGTCTGGTATAAGCAGTGTCAACTTTCAACATGAGAGAACTGTTGTGTCTGGTATAAGCAGTGTCAACTATCAACATGAGAGAACTGTTATGTCTGGTATAAGCGAAGCGTCAACTATCAACATGAGAGGAACTTTATATTGCGTCTGGTATAAAGCAGTGTCAACTACCGGCATGGGAGAGGGGGCACATCTGGTATAAGCCCTCACTGCTTCATCAACATAGAAAAGACTGTTATATCTTGTTTTAAGTAGTATCAACTATCAACATGAGACCACAATATTTTGTCTGGTATAAGCAATTGTCAATATCAACGTAGGGGAGAACTGTTGTGTCTGGTATAAGCAAGTGTCAACTATCAACATGGGAAGAACTGTTGTGTCTGTGGTATAAGAGGTCAACTATCAACATGAGTGAACTGTTATGTCTGGTATAAGCAGTGTCAACTATCAACATGAGAGAACTGTTATGTCTGGTATAAGCAGTGTCAACTTTCAACATGAGAGAACTGTTTGTGTCTGGTATAAGCAGTTTCAACTATCAACATGAGAGACCTGTTTTGTCTGGTAGAAGCAGTGTCAACTTTCAACATGAGATAACTGTTATGTCTGGTATAAGCAGTGTCAACTATCAACATGGGAGTGAACTGTGTATGTCTGGTATAAGCAGTGTCAACTATCAACATGAGAGAACTGTTATGTCTTGTTTAAGCTGCGTGTCAACTTTCAACATGAGAGAACTGTTGTGTCTGGTAGAAGCAGTGTCAGCTTTCAACATGAGAGAACTGTTAAGCGGTGTCTGTTATGTCTGGTATAAGCAGTGTCAACTTTCAACATGAGAGAACTGTTATGTCTGGTATAAGCCAGTGTCAACTTTCAACATGAGAGAACTGTTGTGTCTGGTATAAGCAGTGTCAACTTTCAACATGAGAGAACTGTTATGTCTGGTATAAGCAGTGTCAATTTTCAACAGGAGTGAACTGTTGTGTCTGGTATAAGCAGTGTAAAACTATCAACATGAGAGAACTGTTGTGTCTTGTATAAGCAGTGTCAACTATCAACATGAGAGAACTGTTGTGTCTGGTATAAGCAGTGTCAACTATCAACATGAGTGAACTGTTATGTCTGGTATAAGCAGTGTCAACTATCAACATGAGGAGACCTGTTACGTCTGGTATAAGCAGTGTTAACTTTCAACATGAGTGACCTGTTATGTCTGGTGTAAACAGTGTCAAATTTGTACCGGTGTGTTGTTACATGTATGGTTAATACAATGTGAGCTTTCTACTTGTTTAACTGTGTCTGGTATGTACAGAGCCAACTATCTCGCATAAGCAGAGTCTATTTTCTATTGATGTGAGACGTCATAACTATCTACTTATATCACCTGTCATATCAGTGTCAACTATCTACAGGTGTCATCAGTTATGAATAGTGTTAACTATTTACAGGTGTAATTAGTGCCAACTATGTACAGGTGTGACCTCTCATGTCTGGTACAAGCAGTCAACTATTTACATGTGCAACACGTAGTGTTTGGTATAAACAGAATCAACTATCTACAGAAGCAACCTGTCGTGTTTGGTATAAACAGAGTCAACTATCTACAGGTGCAACCTGTCGTGTTTGGTATAAACAGAGTCAACTATCTACAGGTGCAACCTGTCGTGTTTGGTATAAACAGAGTCAACTATCTACAGGTGCAACATGTGTGTTTGGTATAAACAGAGTCAACTATCTACAGGTGCAACATGTCGTGTTTGAGGTATAAACAGAGTATCTACAGGTGCAACCTGTCGCAGTTTTAGTATAAACAGAGTCAACTATCTACAGGTGTAACCTGTCATGTTTGATATAAAGATAGTCAACTATCTACAGGTGATGCTGTGACCCACCTGTCATGTCTGGAGCCGATGTAGCCCTGGGCCGGTCTTGTAGGTGACATTCATGTCCCCACCACTCACTCGGTACTGCCACTCCACCAAGATCCTGGAAACAAACACCAGGTACAGATTACATCATGTTCCCCTCTGGGGAATCTCACTGTATCAAGAATGACAATAAACCTTCAAGCATCAAGCACAAATCTTACTTTAGTTGACACCTCACTCACTCCGCCACTCACCCTGCTGTACCACCTTGCAGTTTAATTATTTTGGTACATGTGTTACCTGAAACTGTTTTGTAGCAATATATCTATAGGTATAACCTGAAGCTGTTTGTACCATTATTTTGGTACAGGTGAGACTTGAAGTGATTTGTACCAATAAATTTGAACAGGTGTTACCTGAAGCTGTTTGTACCTCTTTATTGGTATAGGCATGACCTGAAGCTGTTTCTGTTTGTACCATTATATTGGTGCCAGTATCGTCTGCACCATGTGATTAACATGCTGTGCAGGTAAGTTTCAGGTACAAAAAGGAGATACAACATAGTGTTAGACAGCAGCGTGTTAACACAACATACAGGGTTGTCAACCTACTTGAGCAAGTCCTTAGCATCTCCATAGCTGATGGGCAGCACAGGGATATCGGGGAAATTGTTGTTGCTGTTGGTGACACGGGGAACTCCATCTACAAGAGAGGCAGTCAACATTATGTACACATGTACGGTTTAGGCACAGCTTGTCCAAGTCTTGGTAATCACACATGTACTGTAGACCACCCTGGTTTGAGGGGCAGGGGAAGTTTTACAGCACTTCCAGGAACACACAGGAATAGCCAGGCTGGAGGCAATGGAGTTATTTCCAGGGTGAATGAATGACAATGAGGCCTGTGGAACAAGCCCCTGGATAATTGTACTGACACTGACAGATGCTAGCCCACACGCTCAGCTTATGGTCTACTTTACCAGCATGGATGGGTAGGTAGGTGGATGGATGGATGGATGGATGGATGGATGGATGGATGGATGGATGGATGGATGGATGGATGGATGGATGGATGGATGGGTTGGTGGGTTGGTGGGTGATGGATGGATGGATGATGTATGGATGGATGGATGGATGGATGGATGGATGGATGGATGGATGGATGTATGGATGTATGGATGGATGGATGGATGATGATGGATGGATGGATGGATGGATGGATGGATAGATGATGGATGGATGGATGATGGATGGATGGATGGATGGATGGATGGATGGATGGATGGATGGATGGATGGATGGATGGATGGATGGATGGATGATGATGGATGGATGGATGGATGGATGGATGGATGGATGATGTATGGATGGATGATGGATGGATGGATGGATGGATGGATGGATGGATGGATGGATGAATGGATGATGTATGGATGGATGGATGGATGGATGGATGGATGGATGGATGGATGGATGGATGGATGATGGATGGATGGATGGATGGATGGATGATGTATGGATGGATGGATGGATGGATGGATGGATGGATGTATGATGGATGGATGTATGATGGATGGATGATGGATGGATGGATGGATGGATGGATAGATGATGGATGGATGGATGATGGATGGATGGATGGATTGATGATGGATGGATGGATGGATGGATGGATGGATGGATGGATGATGGATGATGATGGATGGATGGATGGATGGATGGATGGATGGATGGATGATGGATTGGATGGATGGATGGATGGATGGATGGATGGATGGATGGATGGATGGATGGATGGATGGATGGATGGATGGATGGATGGATGGATGGATGGATGGATGGATGGATGGATGGATGGATGGGTGGGTTGGTGGGTGGGTGGGTGGATGGATGGATGGATGTATGGATGGATGGATGGATGATGGATGGATGGATGGATGGATGGATGGATGGATGATGGAGGGATGGATGGATGGATGGATGGATGGATGGATGGATGGATGGATATGATGGATGTATGGATGGATGGATGGATGATGGATGGATGGATGGATGGATGGATGGATGGATGGATGATGATGGGATGGATGGATGGATGGATGGATGGATGGATGGATGGATGGATGGATGGATGGATGGATGGATGGATGGATGGATGTATGGATGGATGGATGGATGGATGGATGGATGGATGTTCTTTTTCAGTGGTTTCACAGACTACAATTACATATACATGTTACAAACACTTAGTCATTCTAAAGTCTTTGAACAGAGTTCAGAAGTGATATCTGCTATCTTCATAGTTAGCTTCTCCCGATGAAGGAATCATAACATACTCTGCAATGTTGTGTCCCTCATATTACAGAAGTTGACATCCATATAATTTTCACCCTTTATTTCATTTAATTTCATCAATACACAGATGACTGACAGGAAACTAGAAGCATATGATACACAATCAATATGCTGTCACCCAAGTCACCCACGCGTTGTCTGAGAGATTATTGACACGCTGTAACAAAAGACTTCTGCTGAAAATCTAAAGACTCATCAAAGGATGACACACAAATTACAGCTTTTCTGAGACTGACAAAATGTGGTGTTGCACAAGGATTAAACATGTCCGAACCTATAGATGAGTACTGTGGTGTCGTCGGGTCACCAGTGAGGGCGTAGCGAACTTGTGCCAGCTGGATGGCCCAACTCCGGAGATAGTAGAAGCTGCCGACTTCAGCATGGGGATCTGAGAAATCCTGGGGGTCACTGTAGAGCACCACCCCACTAGCACCGTACTCCTCCGCGTGTTTCACCTGTAGAAGGAAACTTCAGGTACATGTCCCTTCTATATTTCATACATAACAGCTTGCTGTTGACTAGCTCCTGTGTAGGTGAATATAGCAATCAGAAATGTTTATTTTAATAGATGGGGGTGGATAGGGGTGTCGTTGAATGACTAGGGTGTCCATTGGTGTCAGGGGAGTGTTATACAGAGTGTCAGAGAGGTATGGCGCCAAAGAGACTCCACTACGGACCACTAGTGTAACATCAACACAATCACACTGTGGAATACAGAGGTTGACTTTCAGTGATGGGACTATGTAAGAGACATTGTATTTCCCACGATTCCTCCTACTTGCTAGTGTTTACCGATGGCTGACATACTAGACAGATCAAACTTGACAATGTCTCTCACAGTATTCCACTTTCTACAATCCCTACAGTGATGACATACTTACCTTGTTTGCAGGGTGAATTCTCCCGTAGCGGATGAGCAGAATACAACCAGTTATATTGACTTTCAGATCCCTTAATTTCTGAAAATCTTCACTGCGGCCATAGTGAGCATACACAAGGTCGCTCTGAAATAAAACGACATCAGATTATATCTGGAATGTTAGAATGTCTGAGCAGAGCCACACTGCAGGCAGATCCAAGATGACAGCAAGAATATCATAGTCTGTACTAGCAAACCTGGAGCTTCTTTCATGAACCAACCTTTACTAAGGTTAACCTTAACTCCCATTCTTTAAAATTGCACTACGGTTACCTTAGTGACATACAATCACCTTAGTGCTTTGTAAAGGAGGCCTTGGACCAGTTGCAACCATTTTTCTGTTTTTAAATAAGTAGTTACCACTAAAATGTTATGATAAGTTAACAGTCAGGTAAATGAAAATAAACAAAACACATTTCCACGTTCATAAGAAATTTGTGATAAAAGACATCTGGTAAAAGTGTAAGACAATTGCTTAAAGTGTAAGACAATTGGTTGCAGTTTAAGACAATTGCTTAAAGTGTAAGACAATTGGTTACAGTTTAAGACAATTGGTTACAGTTTCAAACAATCCATTTAAAGTTTAAGACAATCGGTTAGAGTTTAAGACAATCAACAATGAAGTCTGAAGTAAATTTTGCAGAAGAGAGTCTGCTCTTGCAATATCTTCAGAGAAGACTGAGACAACTTATCTTAATACAGTGGACTGAGAGCAGAATCAATGGTCATCTAGCGGTTAATATGTAGAATGTGTCCCAGCACCTCATGGCTTGTCATACAAGGGACTAGATTTTGAAGCAGGGGGGATTCAAGCAGCCTTAGAAATTTTTGTTGGTTGCAGGAGGGAACTTAATGGACTGGTTGTCAGTTCCGTCATTTTGTTCAAGGCATGTCAGCCCTACCTGAGCCACTGACCATGACTCATATCAAACACAGGATGGTCTGGTCCAGACTTACATATACCTGGAATATTACTGGGTGTGGCGTTCAAGAACAAAACACATTCATTGTGAATCCTTCTGGGATATGCTGTGAGACTGAGTCTAGCAGTCCTGCTGACACTGGTAGAATAAGAACAGTTAGAGTGTGCTATACCATGTAGCATATTGGTGAGTGAGTGAGGTGTGTTGAAATCACTTTTAATAGTATTTCAGTTATTTTTTTGTTTTTCTGCATTATGTGGAAGAGAAATCCAAAGTGGTGAAGCTCTCAAATGTTTACATTTTTGTAAAACCCATTCAAACAGATATGTTAACCCCCTGACAAGAATAATGGTGTATCTGTGATCTGAACTCACTATCATAGGATCATGATGTGTGTAAGGGAGGTAACTCATCACATTCTGATAATCTAAGCTTAGAATAATCTGATTCTCACGCATTGACGCATTATTTAGATACTCCATTTCCCTTCATTTCCATTTTGAAAATAAACACTATTTTTTTCAATTTCCCTCATCATCTGAAACAAACGCTGCTATTCATGACACCTGACACTACAGTGAAGCAATGTCTATCAATACTCTTGGCATTCTCCCTCTTCAGTTTAATGACAAACAGACCTGTGAAGATCCGGGTTAGAATTGATCTTCAGTAACCCATGTTTGTTGTAAGAGGCGACTAACGGGATCGGATGGTCAGGCTCGCTGACTTGGTTGACACATGTCATCACATCCCAACTGTGTGGATCTATGCTCATGCTGTTGATCATTGGATTGTCTGGTTCAGACTTGATTATTTACAGACCGCCGCCATATGGCTGGAATATTGCTGGGTGCTGGGTAAAGCTAAAGTCACTCACTTAAAGACAAATGTGCTCCAATTAAAATAATTTTTGCAGTCCTTTATGAAAGGACTTGCTACCAAATACTCGTATAATGATGGGACAACAGGGGGACTATCACTAAGTGTAAACTAGTGGTACATAAAATGGCAATAAGCTGACATTTGAGAGAGCCTGGTTGTGCAGTTTTCGCTCATCCTCCTCAGAGAGGATGGAACTGCTCCACTGTAAGTGCTCTGTTTACATTTAGAAGGAATTAAAAGAAACAGTTTAGCAATTTGCTGGGAATATATAGTGCAGGCAAACAAACATAAACTGTGTTTCGGTACCATTAGTGCTGTGCTCTAATGGAGGAATTCCATGCGAACACTCCATGTTTGGCCCTCCATCACAACAAGGGAGAAACTGAACACACTTCTTAACTCACAAGCTGAGACGAAGGCCTAATACATCTCAAACCAGGGGACATATCTTTATTCATACTCTTGGAAGCCCCTGGAAATCTCACAGCTGCCTGATGATGGCCCAGCAAAAGCTCATAACTATGGCAGACGAGCATCACACTTCACAGCTTCCATACGTGCAGAACACATACCCATGGAAAAATGGTAGATCACATGATGAGTTCTCTCCGTTTGAAGAATCACTTAATGCTCCCCTTGCTCAGGCCGAAAGCATTCATTACTTCCAGCACACGGGGCTCACTGAACAATTCATCATAATTACTTCACTAAACTGAATATTTGCCCATTCTTACCATCAATATCTTGTAATAATGGTGTGAAAACCCATGAATTTATTTCAATTCATCCAAAAAGAAGAAGGAAAAACTGTTTCCTATCAGCTTGGGCATATATCTTTTCAAATCTAAAGACAGAAAATTAATGGATGCTCTTATTCAAAAACATGGATAAAAATGTTTTTGACAATGAAGAGGTAAGGTGATTATATTTAGCATTCATCTTCTTTTTAAATAGTGGTCATCTCCAGTATTGTCTCTCCTTATGGACAATGCAGACACATTGAAGAGACAATCACGAGGTACTGGGGACGTGTTCTGACATGGAATCTCCACTGGGGTGACAGGCATGAGGTACTGGGGACGTGTTCTGACATGGAATCTCCACTGGGGTGACAGGCATGAGGTACTGGGGACGTGTTCTGACATGGAATCTCCACTGGGGTGACAGGTATGAGGTACTGGGGACGTGTTCTGACATGGAATCTCCACTGGGGTGACAGGCATGAGGTACTGGGGACGTGTTCTGATATGTAATCTCCACTGGGGTGACAGGTATGAGGTACTGGGGACGTGTTCTGACATGGAATCTCCACTGGGGTGACAGGCATGAGGTACTGGGGACGTGTTCTGACATGGAATCTCCACTGGGGTGACAGGCATGAGGTACTGGGGACGTGTTCTGACATGGAATCTCCACTGGGGTGACAGGTATGAGGTACTGGGGACGTGTTCTGACATGGAATCTCCACTGGGGTGACAGGCATGAGGTACTGGGGACGTGTTCTGACATGGAATCTCCACTGGGGTGACAGGCATGAGGTACTGGGGACGTGTTCTGACATGGAATCTCCACTGGGGTGACAGGTATGAGGTACTGGGGACGTGTTCTGACATGGAATCTCCACTGGGGTGACAGGCATGAGGTACTGGGGACGTGTTCTGACATGGAATCTCCACTGGGGTGACAGGCATGAGGTACTGGGGACATGTTCTGACATGGAATCTCCACTGGGGTGACAGGCATGAGGTACTGGGGACGTGTTCTGACATGGAATCTCCACTGGGGTGACAGGCATGAGGTACTGGGGACGTGTTCTGACATGGAATCTCCACTGGGGTGACAGGCATGAGGTACTGGGGACGTGTTCTGACATGGAATCTCCACTGGGGTGACAGGCATGAGGTACTGGGGACGTGTTCTGACATGGAATCTCCACTGGGGTGACAGGTATGAGGTACTGGGGACGTGTTCTGACATGGAATCTCCACTGGGGTGACAGGCATGAGGTACTGGGGACGTGTTCTGACATGGAATCTCCACTGGGGTGACAGGCATGAGGTACTGGGGACGTGTTCTGACATGGAATCTCCACTGGGGTGACAGGCATGAGGTACTGGGGACGTGTTCTGACATGGAATCTCCACTGGGGTGACAGGTATGAGGTACTGGGGACGTGTTCTGACATGGAATCTCCACTGGGGTGACAGGCATGAGGTACTGGGGATCTATTCTGACATGGAATCTCCACTGGGGTGACAGGCATGAGGTACTGGGGACGTGTTCTGACATGGAATCTCCACTGGGGTGACAGGCATGAGGTACTGGGGACGTGTTCTGACATGGAATCTCCACTGGGGTGACAGGCATGAGGTACTGGGGACGTGTTCTGACATGGAATCTCCACTGGGGTGACAGGCATGAGGTACTGGGGACGTGTTCTGACATGGAATCTCCACTGGGGTGACAGGCATGAGGTACTGGGGATCTATTCTGACCTGGAATCTCCACTGGGGTGACAGGCATGAGGTACTGGGGACGTGTTCTGACATGGAATCTCCACTGGGGTGACAGACATGAGGTACTGGGGACATGTTCTGACATGGAATCTCCACTGGGGTGACAGACATGAGGTACTGGGGACGTGTTCTGACATGGAATCTCCACTGGGGTGACAGGCATGAGGTACTGGGGACGTGTTCTGACATGGAATCTCCACTGGGGTGACAGGCATGAGGTACTGGGGACGTGTTCTGACATGGAATCTCCACTGGGGTGACAGGCATGAGGTACTGGGGACGTGTTCTGACATGGAATCTCCACTGGGGTGACAGGCATGAGGTACTGGGGACGTGTTCTGACATGGAATCTCCACTGGGGTGACAGGCATGAGGTACTGGGGACGTGTTCTGACATGGAATCTCCACTGGGGTGACAGGCATGAGGTACTGGGGACGTGTTCTGACATGGAATCTCCACTGGGGTGACAGGTATGAGGTACTGGGGACATGTTCTGACATGGAATCTCCACTGGGGTGACAGGCATGAGGTACTGGGGACGTGTTCTGACATGGAATCTCCACTGGGGTGACAGGCATGAGGTACTGGGGACGTGTTCTGACATGGAATCTCCACTCGGGTGACAGGCATGAGGTACTGGGGACGTGTTCTGACATGGAATCTCCACTGGGGTGACAGGCATGAGGTACTGGGGACGTGTTCTGACATGGAATCTCCACTGGGGTGACAGGCATGAGGTACTGGGGACGTGTTCTGACCTTTAATCCCCAGGGTGACAGGCATGAGGTACTGGGGACGTGTTCTGACATGGAATCTCCACTGGGGTGACAGGCATGAGGTACTGGGGACGTGTTCTGACATGGAATCTCCACTGGGGTGACAGACATGAGGCACTCGGGATCTATTCTGACCTTTAATCCCCAGGGTGACAGGCATGAGGTACTGGGGACCTTTTCTGGCCTGGAATCTCCACAAAGGAGACAAGCATAAGGAACTGTGGATCTATTCTGATCAGGAACCCCCACATGTGATATTGAGGATTCCAGTGACTTATACTCACTGTAATATTCCCTGACTTTGCATAGGCATTGAATGGCAAGTACTCGACTTTCTCGTTGGTCATGTTGTTATGGTAGTGGAAGTACACGGTGTTGTTGCTGTCCACCACACGCAGCTCACTGACTGTATCCTTCTCACTGGAATAACAACAGGGATTCAGCCATCTGATGGGGACAGTTGGGGACAGAAAACTGCACTCTTCAACTGAAGTTTTAACCAAACTGAATAAGTGAAGCTTTATGCATCTGGTAGCAATTTTACATCAATATCATGACAAAGACAGCAGATATGAGCTTCTCTGAATGTTCTGGAGTTGAATCAGGTCGGGACATGGCATGTCTTATTGTGTACCTTCTTGTAATCTCAATCATATTGTAATCATGTGTCCCAACCCAGTCTTATCAGGAGACATTAGTCTCTGTACCATCAGCAATACTACTTACTATTGTGGATAGGAGAGCTGGACAGAATATTTCTTCTCTCTGAGCGAGTTGAAGTAGTAGGCCTTCCAGAAAGAGTCTACATAGTCTATCATCTGGTTGGTTCCACCAAGGCCAGACAGCAGGATCTTCCTAGTGATGGTTCTGAAATGAAAGGTAGTGTATCATGCAACTGACTATTGAGTCACTTCGCGTACACCAGTATTACACCTGTGTTACACTGTCAGCACTAGTTTCATGTGTGTGTGTTTTTGTGAGAACAGTCAGACCAGGGAGTCTGTCAGCACTAAACTCGTTGTCTTTCTCGGATGTGTATAAACAGGACTGTCACGGTCCCGACGTAATCCTTCTTTGTTGTCATAATAAAAAAGTTCTGTATCTCGGACAGTCAGACCAGGTAGTTAGTCATTGACATATCCCATAAACTCTGAATAAACATGCTATGACCTGTGACAAAATGCTTCATGTATATATTTTCGCATTGAACATCGTGTCCGAGAGTGAAGATTGAGGCGGCGAGCGACAGCCGAGATGTGTCACTTGCTAGTGACTTGACTTACATTACATGATCGCACAAAAAGATGGAAATAGTAATTTGACAACTTTTATGAATGTTGTTGTTGATTTTTTCATTAGTTTGTTCAATTTATTTAATGAATTCCTCGAAACATCGTTACTTTGCTCTTTGACAATGTTATTGTGGACCCGCTGCCGAAGCAGGTGTCCGAGAATCGTTCTTTTCAATAACATTGCAAAACATAGTTTATAATTTTAATTCTGCTGATAATATATGATAAATTGAAATTTAATAAGTGTTTTCAGACATTGTGAAATGTGATAGATTTGATATATGAATCATAAGTCAGGTAGGTTCCTAGAATTATGTCTCATTTTGAAAGGAGATAACTCCATTAAAATCTGTGTACTTCGGACTACTGTATAATTCGGACTTTTTAGTCGGTCCCAAACTGGTCCGAATTAGACAAAGTACACTGTAGTTACACATGTGTTATGCAGTTACGTGTGTGCGTTCATGCGTGTGTGTACTGTCATACCAGAGGGAGTCTGACTTGACAAAGATAGTCACACAACATATGTTATGCTGTCATACTGGGAGTACAGTTTCATATCATACTGTAGAATAGGTCTTCAGAACCCATGCTTGCCACAAAAGGCGACTATGCTTGTCGTAAGAGGCAACTAATGGGATCGGGTGGTCAGGCATGTCATCGGTTCCCAATTGCGCAGATTGATGCTTATGCTGTTGATCACTGTATTGTCTGGTCCAGACTCGATTATTTACAGACCGCCGCCATATAGCTGGAATATTGCTGAGTGCAGCGTAAAACTTAACTCACCCACTCATTTCATACCATTTCATTATGTCATACAATGTCACACATTTTGTAGAGAAAAAACAAACAAAAGACTATGGATGCTCATGTATTCACTTCCATACAGCGTCAACTATAGTCAACTGAGTTGCAGGGTTAAATCTGTAGTCCCTCACATTCTGTTTCCTTCATGACACACTGCCACTCAATGTCAACATTCTCATCAGGAAAGTTCACTAAATCACTCACATGTCAGTTGTTTAAGTAATACTGTGATGCTCAGACATGTCTGTACTGTTAGATCAACACTCTGCTCCTACCTTCCTGTCACCTCCACCACATGCATGTATTGTTAAAACATCACAGACGATCGCAGAGTTACCTCTTCATGACGCCACTTCACACTTACAAAAATTAACACATACAGAAGTTAGATGATGTTTGGTAAGTTTCCAGACACAGTTAAGGTTAGTGTATAAAAAGTGTTATTACACAGTGCAAACTTTCCAAGGTTACTGTATGGAAGCATTATGATGTAATACATATGTCACTAGGAGCATAGTGTCTTAAAGTGTTATAGTGTTGTATGTAGAAAGCAGTAATCTGTTATAAATATGTCAGAATTCCCTACAATGTCACACATGTAACACCCTAATAACGTAGATTGATGCGCATGCTGTTGATCACTGGATTGTCTGATCCAGACTCGAGTATTTACAGACCGCCGCCATATAGCTGGAATGATTGCTGAGTGTGCCTTTAAACATCAATCAACCAACCAACCAACCAACCAAACAACCAAACAACCAATCAACCAAACAACCAATCAACCAATCACAATGTCATACAATGTCATACAATATAATAGTGAACACACAATACCTTAATCAGATGCAACACATGTTATAAGTTGTTCACTGGTCACAAGGGGACATGGGTTGATATACCTTTGGGCTAAGGGAACATAAACAGACATAGAGGGTACATCAACCCATGGGCCCCGAGGGACCAGTGAACAATGTATTTATCTTACAAAACACCACAATGTTAATTTAGAACTGTTACCAGCCCGGGTATTGGATCGAATAAGGAGTACCCAGAGTTCAGCAGCCCAAACACTTTAACCAGTACCAAACGTAAGTTCATAGAAACAGAAAATGTTACCTGCTTGTAAGCAGGGAACATTGATTGGCTCAGCTTATCAGAAGACGACATTTATGTGTGAGGTAAGATAATGGTGATTACATTTTCTCAGCAATGTACAGATTCTACAAGCATGTCTGTCACCTGTCAGTCATGGCTTGCTGTGGGAGTCGTACCAGTTTACGCTCAGTTTACCAGTTTACGCTTGTCAGAAGGGTACACCAAGTACATGATCTGGACACCCAGTTGTCCGCCTTATCCATGTTGTGGAAGCAGCGGTGGCTGAGTGGGTTGGATCTCTGACTTTGTGTGCTGGCAGTCAGGTGCCTTATTCTGCGAGTGTGGGTTTGATTCCCAGATGGGTCCCAACCAAAACCATAACTAGAATCTGTACTTTACTGATAAAAAGAAATCTCAAATATAACATGTGTTGCAGTGTTACACAGTGTCATACACAGAAGGCTGTAATATGTTTTATAAATGTCACATGATATCATACATGTCATATAGTGTTATACAGTATTATTCACTGCTTATATGTAAATCAATTTGTTCATACAAAGTGGGGCGGTGGGGTAGCCTAGTGGTTAAAGTGTTGGCTTGTCACGCCGAAGACCCGGGTTCGATTCCCCACATGGGCACAATGTGTGAAGCCCATTTCTGGTGTCCCCACTGTGATATTGCTGAAAAATTGCTAAAAGCAGCGTAAAACTAAACTCAGTCAGTCAGTCATACAATGTGATGTTGCTGTGTCACAAGGGACAGTGGGGTAGCCTAGTGGTTAAAGCTTTTGCTCGTCATGCTGTAGACACGGATTCGATTCCAAACACACAGGCGGATCCAGAGGCGGGATGCAGGGGTGCACACCCCCCTTTTGCTTTGAAAGTTTATTAAATGACCATTGAAACTCGGGGACAATGAAGTGTGCACCCCTCCTTTCTCAATAGTGTGCACCCCCTTTTTCTCAAAAAGATGTATCCGTCCCTGACACATGGGTACACATCTTGTAAGATTTCCAGTGTCCCTTGCCCTGATATTGCAATATTGCTAAAAGCGTAAACCCATTTCCAGTGTCACTATGTCATACAGTGTCAGACATTGCTCAGTGAATACTTGCTGAAAAGAGACTGCTGTTTCAGCCCCTACTTATATATAAACACCCCCAACTGGGCTTTCATTTCTTTACAGAAACAGGGATAATAATCTGCCTCATCACATCTTTTCTCTTTATAACTCTCACTTTAGTTCCCTCATCGTCGTCAACAGTACTTCTGCTGTACACTTCAACATCAAAGACATCATCTTCATCAACTTCAACCAAACGTTAGACTCGTACTCGATTCTGCCCACAGAGTGCCAAGCTTTTATCAAGTCTGTTTTCATCAAAGGTTTTGTTTTCACAAGACTCAAAGGAGAAGGTTTGCCTTCAGTCACCAGACAAAATACACACTGTAATACTTGCTTTTCTTAAATAGTTTCTTTTCTGTATGTTTCTTTTACAGTTTTAAAATAAACTTTTTCTGCTAACATGTCATCAGGGACTATTGCGTCTCAGAAAGAAAACAAAAAAATGTTCCAATGTTTAATACCCTAATTGACATGATAGATAGCTGAGATAATGAGACGTAGTTGAGACATATAATGAGACGTAGTTGCAGGGTTTGACTGGCACATAAAACCTGGGAATTTGGCGCAATCTAAACATGCCAAATGATTCCTCCCTAGTGTTAGTCATGACGCAGATCTTTCAGTCTGTCAAAACCAAACTCAACTTAACTGAACTGTACTGGTGGAACATTAAAATTTTAAATGGAATGTCCCTCGACAATATACCCAATATCAGTTTTCGTCCAATGCTGAAAAACCTGATGTCTAACAATAGAAAAGCTGTCCTGGCAAACAATCAGTGGCGACCAATCAGAATAAAGCTTCAATACTTGCCTAGTGGGGGGTGCTTATATTTGCAGTCATATTTGGTTATGGCACATTTTCATCATCATATTATGGACTAAAAAACCGAAGTAATCTTTTAACATTTTTCATTAACCAGCCAGCAGTTGATGAGCTGATATGACACAGATGAATCTGGTACAGGTACATGTGACCGGTCAAGGAGACATAACCTAAATTATTTTGCAGTCTAAAATGGAACCTATTTCATCTGGTAAAGGCAGTTAAGAAAAGTCACAAGAAAACAGCGTCTAATATACATAATAGCAATACCACTCATTTATGTAGTAGTTACAAATATGTCCCATATGTCAATTATTGTCACCATATCTCTACCATTGACACAGCATGAGTGAGTGAGTGAGTGAGTGAGTGAGTGAGTGAGTGAGTGAGTGAGTGAGTGAGTGAGTGAGTGAGTGAGTGAGTGAGTGAGTGAGTGAGTGAGTGAGTGAGTGAGTGAGTGAGTGAGTATGATGGTGCAGACATTTCAAATATGCTAAATCCTTCTTATGACAACCACACTTATAACAACCTTCTTATGGGGGTCTCCATACAGATTGTCACTGGGTCAGTGGGTTCCCCATACAGATTGTCACTGGGCCAGAGGGTCTCCATACAGATTGTCACTGGGCCAGAGGGTCTCCATACAGATTGTCACTGGGTCAGTGGGTCTCCATACAGATTGTCACTGGGTCAGAGGGTCTCCATACAGATTGTCACTGGGCCAGAGGGTCTCCATACAGATTGTCACTGGGTCAGAGGGTCTCCATACAGATTGTCACTGGGTCAGGGGTCAGATTGTCACCAGTAGAGGTCTGTTGTCACTGGGTCAGTGGGTCCCATCAGATTGGCACTGGGTCAGGGATTCTCCATACAGATTGTCACTGGGTCAGTGGGTTCCCCATACAGATGGTCTCTGGTCAGTCAGAGGGTCTCCATACAGATTGTCACTGGGTCAGGGGTCTCCCATACAGATTGTCACCAGGACAGTGGGTCTCCATACAGACTGTCTACAAGAGAGTGGGTCTCTCGGTCAGGGGTCTCCATACAGATTGTCACTGAGTCAGAGGGTTTCCATACAGATTGTCACTGGGTCAGGGGGTTTCCATACAGATTGTCACCAGGACAGTGGGTCTCCATACAGACTGTCTACAAGAGAGTGGGTCTCTCTTGGTCAGGGGTCTCCATACAGATTGTCACTGTCTCCATACAGATTGTCACTGGGTCAGTGGGTCTCCATACAGATTGTCACCAGGACAGTGGGTCTCCATACAGACTGTCTTCAAGAGAGTGGGTCTCTTGGTCAGGGGTCTCCATACAGATTGTCACCAGGACAGTGGGTCTCCATACAGATTGTCACCGGGACAGTGGGTCTCCATACAGACTGTCTACAGAGAGTGGGTCTCTTGGTCAGGGGTCTCCATACAGATTGTCACTGAGTCAGAGGGTCTCCATACAGATTGTCACTGGGTCAGGGGGTTCCCATACAGATTGTCACCAGGACAGTGGGTCTCCATACAGACTGTCTACAAGAGAGTGGGTCTCTTGGTCAGGGGTCTCCATACAGATTGTCACCAGGACAGTGGGTCTCCATACAGATTGTCACTTGGCCAGTGGGTCTCCATACAGACTGTTTACGAGAGAGTGGGTCTCTTGGTCAGGGGTCTCCATACAGATTGTCACTGGGTCAGAGGGTCTCCATACAGATTGTCACTGGTTCAGAGGGTCTCCATACAGACTGTCACTGGTTCAGAGGGTCTCCATACAGACTGTCACTGGTTCAGAGGGTCTCCATACAGACTGTCACTGGTTCAGAGGGTCTCCATACAGACTGTCACTGGTTCAGAGGGTCTCCATACAGACTGTCACTGGTTCAGAGGGTCTCCATACAGACTGTCACTGGTTCAGAGGGTCTCCATACAGACTGTCACTGGTTCAGAGGGTCTCCATACAGACTGTCACTGGGTCAGAGGGTCTCCATACAGACTGTCACTGGGTCAGAGGGTCTCCATACAGACTGTCACTGGTTCAGAGGGTCTCCATACAGACTGTCACTGGTTCAGAGGGTCTCCATACAGACTGTCACTGGTTCAGAGGGTCTCCATACAGACTGTCACTGGGTCAGAGGGTCTCCATGCAGACTCTCACTGTCATCTAAGGCACCATACAGATGGTCACTCGGTCAGAGGGTCTCCATGCAGATGGTCACTGGGTCAGAGGGTCTCCATACAGATGGTCACTGGGTCAGAGGGTCTCCATACAGATGGTCACTGGGTCTGGGGGTCTCCATACAGACTCTCACTGTCATCTAAGGCACTCCAATGTGCTGTGCATAGTTATGTCCCTTGGGATTGCCAGAAACCATGGGTTTAAATCCATGTCTGCTATCAGTATATTTCTTGGTTTGTGAGCACCATGCTTGTGCTTCTAAGTTTCACCAAAACGATAAATGTCAGACCTGAATCTTGCAACTTGACTCTCACTATACTTACATGCCATTGTATAACTGGACTAGTTTTTCAATTAACATTAAACTAAGCTCACTCACACACGAAGACCATATACAATTTCAATGAAATGACCAACATAACCAACATAAAGAAGAGCAGTTCAAACACATCTGTCTCTCATCCGATCAGAAAACTTGCTCGTATTTCTTCAAACAGAGTTACATCAAAAGTTACTTCTGCTGCATGTTCAGAAATAGCTTCTTTGATCATCAAATATACAGAACTAATAAATATTCCTATTATTTGTCAAAAGATGACATGAAACAGAACTTGTTTTTTATTACAAAGATATCCTGACACAAACATTCACATAAATGAACACAGCTGATTTTACTTTAGCAGATTTTCAATTACTAGAGAGTCCATTTCTTTCATCCAAAGCAGCATGATTAATATACTGAAGGTACTAAATAAGGCAACATGTAGCAGAAGGTAGACAACATCAATGAGTCGGAATGGTTCTTGAAATTATTTGCTACAGTAACTGAACTTCCAAATGATTGATTTTATCAATAATTCATTGGTTTCACTTTCCAATGAAGGCTCACTGATCATAATCAATTTCCAGTAAAATTATATAAATTCATTGAATTTAAAGGGAATGATAAACATGGGTGTGATGTCATGAAATCATATAAATCTGACACATACAATGTTTCCAATCAGATGTATTTGTGGGATATCAGCTACCATGTTTACTGTTTTTATGTAAAGAAAATTGATAAAGAAAATATGCATTATTGTTTCTATTCTCACTGATGACCAATTATTAGCCATATTGGCAGTATAGTCAAACCCATAAAAATTCAGAGAATCTATGGTTATTTAATTTCCCCCTACTGACTACATATTTTCCATATCAGTGATTATGCATGTCACAGACAGGCCAGGTCTTGCTACTTTAATGGTAGATAATCATTTAATAGGTACTTTTGGCATTGATTTTTATTAAGAGATCCTTCTCATCCACAGGATGTCAAGATCAAGATAATAATAATAATGTATTTATAAAGCGCCTAATATCCACCATAGAGATGCTCAGTGGCGCTGTGACAATATTGGGGAAGGAAATAGTTCATATAACTTTACAGAAAGGCAGCAGTGAATAGATGGGTCTTTAGCAGAGATTTAAAAGTTTCTTTTGATGAAGTGTTCCTGATTTCCTTTGGAAGAGAGTTCCATAGTTTAGGGCTGGCAAAGGAGAAGGCGCGGTCAGACAGTTGGTTTGGAGATCTGTGTTGGGTGAGGAAAGAGTCAGAGGAGGATCGGAGACTTCGCTGAGGTACATACACGGAGACGAGATGTTTGAGATAGTCGGGAAAGTTATCGTTGTAGAGGCAGTCATGGATGGCTGTACCAGGTACATATTAAACAGGTTTCTTTCTGAAATGTCCATGTCTCAGAATAACCATCGATGTCAAGTCCAAAATAATTGATCAAAGGTATAGACCAATGGTATGAGCTTCTGTAGCTTACCTGAAGTCAGTTAATAATGTATGACCAATGTAGAGTGAGGTGAGTGAGTGAGTGAGTCAACTTACTTGACTTACTTGATTGATGTGGTCTTGGTAGTTGGCCACGTTGTTGACGCTGTCTCTCATCACCTTGCTGATTTGAGTGAGTGAGTGAGTGAGTGAGTAAGTGAATCAACTTACTTGATGTGGTCTTGGTAGTTGGCCACGTTGTTGATGCTGTCTCTCATCACCTTGCTGATTTGAGTGAGTGAGTGAGTGAGTGAGTGAGTGAGTGAGTGAGTGAGTGATGTGAGTCTTGGTAGTTGACGTGTTGATGCTGATCACCTTGTGATTTAACTTAATGAGTGAGTGAGTGAGGCGTGAGTGAGTGAGTGAGTGAGTGAGTGAGTGAGAGTGAGTGAGTGAGTGTGAATCAACTTACTTGATGTGGTCTTGGTAGTTGGCCACGTTATTGATGCTGTCTCTCATCACCTTGCTGATTTCTGGACTGTAGTCCTGAAACAAACATACTTTTATCAAATGATGTATCGTAAAAGTCAATATCTTGTTTAGCATGTTCAGAGAAATACTGCAGAAAACACTAACGGCTTGCATCGCATCAGCTTAAATATTGGAAATATTCTTCAGCAGTGTTTCATTGCATCAACCAATATGTTTATGCTGAAATTGAAAAACAATACATAAAAATGGTATGTCATATACAAAAACCATCAGCCAAGAATTAAGTGTTCACAAAGATGAATGCCACCATACCAGGAGGTCCTCACACATGGTATTACCATATAAGGTGGCATGAGTGAGGCAGATGGTTGGGTTAAGTAGGACAATATTACAGTTATCTCCTGGAGTCAGGGGCGGTGGGGTAGCCTAGTGGTTAAAGCGTTGGCTCGTCACGCCGAAGACCCGGGTTCGAATCCCCACATGGGTACAATGTGTGAAGCCCATTTCTGGTGTCCCCCGCCTGTGATGTTGCTGGAATATTGCTAAAAGCGGCGTAAAACCAAACTCAGTCAGTCCTGGAGTCAGCTTGAGGAGGGAGGGAGACAGGATGACCCCACCAGTAAGTCACAGATCTGCTGGATGATACAGGTAATTGTACGGGTTGATTGTCTGCTCAGTGACAAGTCAGGGGACACGACCATGGACCCATCTCCATGGCAGAATCTGAACATCACCATATATGTGTTCATCTGGGATGCTAACCCATGATCATAGGATTCTCATTGTCCTACAGTGAAGGCTGTCATAGGATTTTCATTGTCCTACAGTGAAGGCTGTCATAGGATTCTCATTGTTCTACAGTGAAGGCTGTCATAGGATTCTCATTGTCCTACAGTGAAGGCTGTCATAGGATTCTCATTGTCCTACAGTGAAGGCTGTCATAGGATTTTCATTGTCCTACAGTGAAGGCTGTCATGAGGATTCATCTTCTCATTGTCCTACAGTGAAGGCTGTCATAGGATTCTCATTGTCCTACAGTGAAGGCTGTCATAGGATTCTCATTGTCCCACAGTGAAGGCTGTCATAGGATTCTCATTGTCCTACAGTGAAGGCTGTCATAGGATTCTCATTGTCCTACAGTGAAGGCTGTCATGGGATTCTCATTGCCCTACAGTGAAGGCTGTCATAGGATTCTCATTGTCCTACAGTGAAGGCTGTGGCACCTCAGACAACTTGGTGAGTGAGTTTGTGAGTTTAGTTTTACACTGCACTCAGCAATATTCCAGCTATATGGCGGCAATCTGTAAATCATCCAGTCTGGACAAGACAATCCAGTGATCAACAGCACGAGCATTGAACTACGCCATTGGGATACGATCACATGTGCCAACCAAATCAGTGAGCCTGACCATGTTAAAGTCTGCCTATAATTAAACTGGGTTGTTGGCTGTGACAATAGTCAGTCATACAGACTCTGATACAAATATACCCAATGCAACCATGCATATATAAAATGTGGTATGTTTAGATTACCAGTTTCAGGCTGCAAATGAAGAAGGTCTCTGGGCTCCTTTATTTTATAAACATAATATTGAAACTGTTTTTTTCTGTAAAATATGTTCATTTCAGAGGCAAGATGTTCTTCTACCTGTGACAAGTACCTCAACCGATAGGCTAGCCAGTCAGAAGACCAACACAGAGCACTCACACCTTAATTTGTAATGGAATCCTAATGCTGTCCTTAACTAAGATCTCCTTAAGTGGACATATCAGACAAGCAAGGGGTAGATTTTGCCACTACAAGTATACACATTCAAAGCACCTTTAATCTTAGCTCCTGTTCCTTCGAAATAACAGAACTATTTAGAAGTCCCATGCAATAATTTCATTATCATCCCTCGACACATTGAAGGGTGGCAGTGATAGACAGCATGTCCGTGCATCAGGCGGTGATTATAGCAGGGCCATTACGGTCAAGAGACGCTATCAGTATCAATTTGGCGCCGTGGACGATGACTGGGGCTCTAGGTCTCAATGGCAAAGTCTTATTCAAACACACAAATGATCATCCACCAATGTATTCTAATTACTTATGCGTCTATGAATCGGCAGTCAATTATGTCTGAAATGTTGACTCTGTGAGACGACAAGAGTTTGTGTGACCAGCATTCGATATTGTGCATTGATTTAGAACATAAGGGAGAGTAGTCGTGTCCATTCCAGTTTGGTAAGAAAGATCGGTCAGCCTTATTTGGGTCAACCATACGATTAGAAGAGTACCCACTCCGCAACAAATCACCATAAATGGAACAGCACTCGTAGGCTTTCAGAAAATGGCCTCTTGAACTGGGGAGGTTGTTCTGTTTAATGTCCCTAGACCAATGGCTACATCCAGCCAGTAATGTTCTCATATACCCAGTGTATGATAATGAGACTTAAGCCATGGGATACTAGTAACAGACTCTACTTACGAGATAATGTTTCCTATCATGCTTAATGGTGGTAGCTAATACAAAGAAGTGAAGGTATCTATACGACACTCATCAAGCAACAATTATAAATATCAAGCAGTGAAGAAAAATTACTGTTTCCAAAGATTTTTATTATATTACTGCAATCAAAATGTAAAGCAATCTATTATATTTGAGTTTCTACCATGACTTCAGTAAATACTGGATTGTGATTGGTTAATCAAAGTGATTCAGAGGTATATAACCACTTTTTATACCTCTGATTTTCAAACACAGTATGTATTTTCTTTAATCTTAATAACGCGGTTATGGTAGAATATGAAGATAAACGTACTGTGTTGGAAAATCAGAGGTATATCATGAAACTATAATAGCTCTAAAAAAAATTAAAATCTCATGCTACGCATTCAGTTTTAAATGCTATTATTATTTCGTTATATACATCTGATTTTTCAATACAGATTGTTTATCTCCTAATTAAAAAATGCAATGTAATTATAACATGAGCATGCCAGAAGCAAACGAAAGTATCTGCATGATTTTTTCCCCACTTTTAGGGTTTCTAGCAAGGATTCACTATAAAATTTGTTTGGAAAGAGATGCCAGTCTTTGAAGGTGAACTTGATTATCCATTTTATGTATGTTAAATCCAGAGATTTTTTTAGCCAAATATTTTTTCAGCTCCATCAGGAAAACTAAATATTTTTTCAAGTACAGCCACCATTTTTGCTTTGACAGGCAATTTTGTAATTTAAAAATCAGAAGAAGCAACATCAAGTACTTTTTGTCAAGTAAGATAAAAAGGTCCAAAAATCAGATGATCAGTACTTGGAATAAAAATAAGTCTTGATACAGCTGGTATTTGGACATGTCTGATTTGATATCATGTTGATCATGCATATTTACTGTTCAAAACTGCCTACACTTTGTGAAACTAAAAGCTGGTGTTGGCTGATCATCTGATGATACTACTTCAACTGGATTGAAAGAATCAGTGGGAAAAGACAGTCACTGAATTATACTGATACTGTGGGAACAACCAGTTGTGTAAATACTTGACAAACCATGAGATATTCTGTTGAAAAAATTTAGTTGTAGTTTTAGCGTGACTGCAGCCACAAAATCAGGATTTATAGCAATTATGTAAATTTCATAAGAATCATGTAAATTTATATAATCAATTTTTAGAATTGCAGTTGCAGCAGATTTTAAAAAAATGTCAGAAAGTCTACGAAAAATGTTTTACTTTGTGTGCTGAGCCCGGAGTGTTTGTGTCCAACATGGCTGTCACATAGAACTCACATGAGCTGGAGGCAGTTGTATGGAAAACCTCCCGGAGACTGCAATATGCAGAGCATGATGTCCCCATCAGACCCACATTCAGAAACACATGCAGTGGCAGGATGACGCCCAGAGTCGTATTTCTTCCAGGTCAGAAGAAAACAAAATTGTTCCACTAATCATACTAAGGTTGGCTGTGTCAAATAAAGATCCACAATTCCTTAAAAAATGACAGCAAAAACAATGAGAAAGATTTTCTAACTTCAACCCCACATCTGCAGGTGGAGGCGAATCTGCCCTTGTAGCTGCAGAGAAATGAGAAACCAAATGGATGTCTGCAGTAATAATGACATTCCTTAAAACTTGCAATTGCTGTCGAGTAATTTCCCGCCAAACCAAGCAATTGGAACCAGGGCTGAGTAAAGCCAGCGTGTGTAATTCTACAAGTCGCCTGCCACGGGGAGAAAGTAGACACCGCTGCTTCCGATCTCGTCTTACATCAAAGACATTCTCCTCATCCAGACGAAGACTCTAGATAGAGAGGCAGACAAAGCCCAATATGGAAATTTGTCTGCATCCAACTCAGGTGCAAAACAATTGTCCAAGTGCTGTAACCTTTGATGTCCATTTCTGGAAATTAGCCTGCATTTTTAACCAGTAAAGTCGCCACGGTAACCAGAGGCTTGTTAGCCAGTGTGTTCAATGTGTATTGAGGTCTGTTATTAGTGAAACAGGCACTAATAACTTCTCCATTGACCATGAACTGGCTACATGGAGTGTTGAACGTGTATTGGGGTTGGTTATTAGTGGAAATGGTGGAAATGATATCTTAAGTAACCAGAAGCTGGTCAGATATGATGATGTATGTGTACTGGTTCTGTGATGTGTGAAAATGGCACCAGCAATATCTCCAATACTGATTCAGCTCCTCCTGGCCTAGCATGTTCAGGAGCAATCAAGTTCTAGCACCAAGAATGGAAACTCGGAACATTGTGGTAAAATTTAACAAAATGGAAAAATAATGAATGTCTTTGTTGCAGAAGATAAGAGTACCTGCCAACCAGATGAACAATAGTTTCTAAAGATACAGGGTTTTGTAGTTTAATTATAGTCACTTTTTTTGTCTCAGAACCGAAATTAGGTGGTTCTTTTTCTTCAATTGTGAATTGTCTGACGGGGAAAAACAAACTCTCTTAAACCATATTAGTGTTTTTTTGTGCTGTGGAAAAAGTGTACAACCAGGTGAATAGCTGAAGCTGATGAAGCTGATCCTCTGAAAAACTATATAACCATGACTTTTGT